CCAAAGCGATTGACAGGCATACAAGACTCTCGTTGATTCCCTCTTACACATGGTTAACAAATGACAAGAACCACATAGAGAGGTGTCATTAATCACTAAATTATGTTTTACTAACACATTTCGGGGGGAGCATGTTTAGATAATTAACATAGTTAACGAGTGGAGAGCATTCAGTTAATTTGCAATAAGAGGTATACATACAGTAGACTTTCCTCTGTTCATTACAGTTTATCAGCATCCCTCCACCACCCCTTCTCCGCACTTTTAGTAAGCCAAATGTGCAGAAAGCTTTATTCCATCTAATAAGTGTGAACTCGTGAACAACAACAGTGAGAATAACACAGGAACAGAAGAGAACTAACTATCACAAGACACATTTTTTGTCGTTTTTTTAAGCTTGCTTTACATGAACATCTACAGATCCACAGATACAAACACATTAAGTTAATTTTACGTTTGCTTGATCCCCCTCCTCCCCCCATTTTTTAAAAGGACCCTATGAACAGCGTTATACGGACTGTAAATGAATTAGAGTATTAGTATTTATATTTTGTATATATTTGTGTGCGTATCATTTCTCCACTTTAAAAAAATACTTGATTTACTTGTACAGTATTCTCTTTCTTTTTCCATTTGCATTTTTACAAACATGCACATTTAAAATTTATAATTAAATAAAAGTATTTTGTAGTTCAAAAAATCATTTGACTCCTTTCCTCTGTGGACTTTTCAGTGTGTGTGTGTGTGTGTGTGTGTGTGTGGTTTATATATGTTATGCATGGGGACAAAGTGTACCAGAAAATACCAGAATTAAATTTTTTGAACCCCATGAGTAAAAGCTTATAAATCACACTAAATTATGTTTTTTGAATATGTAAAAATGCTGAAAGTTTTCTTAGATGTGTAGGATTGTTTTGGGTTTGGGGATAGAATATACAAGTATAAAAATTATTATGTCTATGGAAACTCCCCATAAAACATGGAAACTCATGTGTGTGTGTTTTCGTTCTTGTTAAACCTACAGCAAGAGGACCAAATGTCCCCACTAAGATAGAAAATTGTGTACAATATTGATATTGATAATGCAAAAATGCAGAAAGTTTTCTGTGATGAGTTATTGGCTCACCGAGGAGTTAAAGGCCACTGTCGGAGTGACCTCTCTTGTTCTCTCTTCTCTGTGTCTTCTGGTTGCTGTTCGAGTGTGATCTCACATCAGCACATCAAGACACAGGCCTAAACACATTAAGACATGTTACTTCCTCAACCATAACAGAGTCAAACTATCATTTCAAGTTCCTCATCATCAAATTAATTGCAACTTTAACAGCATTGACTCACAGAAGCATCAAGTCTTTATCCGGAGACTGCATCCAGACGCTTGTTCAACTGACCGTCTACTCTCCACCTATACTGACATAATATACAAATATTATGGGAAGTGCGCTAGCCAGAGGGGATTTAAAGTTTGGCTGGAGACCCAAGTTTGGTTTGAAGACAAAAAACGTACCAAACTCAATATTCGCTCCCAATTCTTGATTTCTGCTCAACACTTTCGGCTGGTCTTGTGGCTGTCAGAGCAGAAACAAAAGCTACTGCTCTCTGTGTGTTTTTCTGTTTTCTCCGGTCATGTTCATATGTAAATTTTGTGAGCTTATTTCATCCTTTAGATTGAAAGATCTGAAAAAGTCCATACATTTACCCGCCCATAGACCCTCTTCTCGAAGAAGTCAGGACAGAAGTGATTGAAAGTGGACAAAAGGTGTAAACGTGTGTATGTGTCTCCCTCGTCTACTTGTGATCCTATTTATTTATTTATTCATTTATTTGACATGGACATTGCAATTAAACATAGTACAAAACAAGTCTGTGACTGATGCTATGCAAAAAGAGTTTAAAGCTATTGCTAATTTTCAACTACAGTCCATGGTTGGGCCTTTACACTACAACAATTACTATTTCATCTTAAAAACATATCTATATGTTTTTAAGATCTATATATAACATATATAGATATATATAAGATCTATATATATATCTATATATAACATATCTATCGACCAAAACACATCTTAATACCAGGTGTAAACAGGGCCAAAGATACTGAAACCTAACGTGTGTGTTTTTTGTTTTGTTGCTTCATGTTCTATAGGCTTTATGCCGAGCGTCACGTGACCAAGCCGGAAAACAGGTCACATCGCTTCCGATTCAGGTCTTTTGTATGTGCTTCATGAAAATTTTTCCGGTTTTACTCAAGATAACTTAAAAGGAGCACGCAAAAATGAGCACAACCAATGTCCCTCGCATGTGCAGATTGATATTTAAAAGTTTTTTAATTTTTCTTCTTCACACTAACGTTTAGATATTTAAACAGCATAAAACACCAATAACAAAGTGAACTCAGTAGGTTAGCTGATTACCTTAAAAATCCATAGATATCGTAGTTAGTTCTTACGGCCGTTAACACTTTCTCTGACAAGCGGATGCAATGAGACCTGTTTTCCGGTTTGGTCACGTGACGCTCGTTTTCTAATGTGTAGGGGAGACCGGATGTGATTGTAACACATGTTAATTGTAACGCTTCCAATTTATCTAACCAGGAACAACACACACAAACACACAAATAGTGTTCAATTGTTGAAGCTGCTGCACATTTGCTCATTTTATTCAGTTTTGTTACACACACACACACATACACACACACACACACACACACACACACACACACAAACCAATTATGTTATAAGCTTGTGTTGGATAATAAACTTTCATTTTTTATATATATATATATATATAAATGTCCTAATGTTACATATCCCCCCGGCGGATATCATAATGTTACATCTCACCCCAGGGTATGTTTCAACTCCCCCGGACTATGCGGTGTATTGTAACATTTCACTCCTCGTGTTTGAAACTAAGCCACACATTTTTCTGTTTGTGCTGCAAAGATAACAGCCATGTCATTTAACAGCTGACACTTGTAACTAGTTCTTGAAACACATTTTGAACGCACTGGCTTAAAAAAACGATATAGACAGAGATGTGAAAAAAATTCACTCTCGGTTGGTGCATATAGGATGTTGATATATTCAGGTTATACACTACTTTTTTACGTTTGAATGGCCGTCAACAGAGACCTCTGTTTTTTTTGGGTTTTTTTTTTTTGTCTGCCCATATACTGTATGTATCACACTGTAGCTGATGTCCATGTGGTGAACAGTGTCAGTGGAGTTTCAGTCTCTGCTTGAATGTTTAAGTGTTGCATCTTTACGTCCTCGTGTGTTTTTGTGGTTGGTTTCTTCCAGTCACAGTACAGATTCACACATTATTATTTTACTTGCTCAGAGGTTCAGCCCTCTCTACAGGAACCAATGCAGCCACAACACTTTTTAAAATGATACTTAAATACATTTTTAAAACATACTTGGGAATTATTTTAAGGAAATATGAGACACTGTGGATGGTTGCAATTAATTGCAATCATTGATCTCAAACTTTGATATAATTTCCCATATTCTTGAATTGTGTTTTTAAATATTTTGAGTTGTAATATTTTACAACATGGACAGTTTAGATTTTGTGCATGCATTTATTTTGTCAATCAAATGTGCTTGTTCAAACTTATTTTAAACCAACCCCTAATGAACCCCTTCCACCAACTCAAGCCGTTTAAAAACATTTTATTGTAAAACCGCAAATTGATTGAACACATGATTAAAATATATAAAAAGCTTACAGTTTGCGTTATCACTTTCACAGTTTTGTGAAATGGTGGCTTGAACAATGTAACATGTTGTTCAGTTATGGGTGAAGAAAGTGTTTTATTTTTGAGTAAATGTTTTATATCAAATTAAACAAGAGAATCTGCTGATTTAGATTATAGCACTGCTATATTTTAACAGGCTTTAACCAGTTCACAAATCAAATTAGCCATTAGTAAATGTTGATGTGTTGTGGCTATAGTTTGAGGCTGCTGCTACTTTTAGCACTTGCTGACGCTTATGGTTTTAGGTGACATTTCTGCTCTGAAACAGGAGGAAACAGAGACAGTTCAAGAAGTGACCAGCTCCTCTCACGCACACACACTCCGCTAAAGACATGATTTACCTTCTGGTTCTCTCTGGGATTTTACTTTACATCTCAGGTAAAAACAAAACAAATATAATTCTGTTTCAAAAGCATTGCTAAACCATTGGACAGTCTGTTGTTAAATTGTTAAAATGGTTTAACTTGAATGCTTTAAGTTATAATTCTACTATATACATTTACATCATGAGTGTTTTATGTTTTCTCCATTTATTCTTGACTACAGGTGGTGCTGGAGTTAATGCACTGGAACTTAATATAGCAGTGAAATCTGGATCATCTGGCATTCTTCCATGTGTGTATGATAAACAACACAAAGAAAACCGCAAATATTTGTGTTGGGGGACACCTTGGAGCTCTTGCAGAATATTGGCATATGCAGGACAGACAGGAAAATATTCCATCACTGATTATCCAGACCAGAGTATTTTTACAGTGCGGTGGGACAATCTGCAGACGTCAGACTCTGGACAATACTGGTGCGCTGTGGAGATTGGTGACTATAACATCGTAGACGCCGGTTATTATTTGTATCTGACGGTGCAATCAGGTAAAACATTTTTTTTTCCAAATTACGTTTTTTTTCTGACAATGCTATTTATTAAAATAGAATATAATATAAATATGAAAGGGAGTAGGGCATTGGGATGCTCACGAGCAATAAGCATATCCCAGCCAGGTTCGAGACTTATTTGGGTCCCCTGGAAACATTTCTGTTTCTGTGCTATTTGTAGCGCGTTTCTATTTGGTTGTGTTGTGAACTTTTGCAGTTTTGAATAAAGTGTGTTACCAACCGTATAGTAAACACTTAAAAATATCAAATAAATCAATATCAAGGGAATTTAGATAGGCCTATTTACATTGTATAGCCAATAAGACAATTGATGGACAAATGTTTTTATGACTGATTTCAGCTCCTGGTGTGTCTGTGAAGAGCAGCAGTGTATCTGGACATGAAGGTGATAATGTCAGTGTCCAGTGTTTCTACACTTCTGGATATCAGAATAATCTCAAACAGTGGTGCAGATATAAAGATAAGGACTGTTACAAAGTGGGGAATCCATCAGTCCAGATCAGTGATGATGGGAGAAGCTCCTTCACTGTGTTGATGACTGGACTGAGACTCAGTGATTCTGGATGGTACTTCTGCTCAGTAGGAGATCTGCAGGTTCCTGTTAAACTCACTGTCAAACCCAAACCTGGTAAGATCACAAATCAGTTCAGCTATAATGGTGACACTCTTAATGGCCTATAAATATCTTCATGTTTTTCTCCTTTCAGTGACACATATTCCAACAGCAACACCATCTGACCCTGAGACAGACAAGTAGGTGTAATTTCTGACTATTTAAAAGAATCAAATGCATCTAAATACTTTTGTAGCCCGAAAACCTGTTGATCTTGTTCCCAAAACTGGTCTAAATGATTTGTTCACAATTTGGAATGATTAGGTATTTTTTGAGGAAAGAAGTGCAGGAGAAGAGCATACAAGTACATTGTTCTTTTCTTTTATGTTCCACAGAAGAAAGAAAGTCATACAGGTTTGGAATGATATGATTCGATTGTACTTTCATTTTTGATTGAACTTATTTTTCTTTCTCTTTTTACATTGTTTTGTAGGTACACAACCCAGACATCTGCAAACAGAAATCCTACAAGCATGAATGAAATAGTAAACAGTAAGGAGCAGCTGAACTGGGTTAATCAGATCAAATATGTTGTTTAGATGCACTGCATACAATGGGAGCCCATTTCAGCCACATATGAAAAACAATCATGCTTTAGTAAATCATAATTATGACATAAAAGTAGAATATATGACATAAAAGTCATATTTGTGACACAAAAAGCTGAAATTCTAACATAAAATATCAGAATTATGACAAATGTCTAAAGATAGAAGTCATGATTATGACATAAAATGCTGAGACTGTGACATAAGTCAAAATTATAACAAAAAGTTATAATAAAAAAGTATGAAAAAAGTATAAAATCATGCTTTATAGTAATTCATAATTATTACATAGAACATTATGACATAAGTCTAAATTATAAGAAAAAAGTCATAATTACAGTCGTGCTCAGAATTAATGGCACCCCTGGTAAATATGATCAAGACTGGCTGTAAAAAATAAATCTGCATCATTTATCCTTTTGATCTTTCATTCAAAGAATTGCCAAAAATCTAACCTTTCATTGAAGTAAAAGAATTGAAAGTAGGGGGGAAATCATATTATGAAATGAATGTTTGCAACCTCCTTTTTCCAAGATAACAGCTCTGAGTTTTCTCCTATAATGCCTGATGAGTTTGGAGAACACCTGACCTGAGATCAGAGTCCATTCCTCCATTCAGAATCTCTCCATATCCTTCAGATTACCAGATCCATGTTTGTGCTTCTTCTCTTCAGTTCACTCCACTCATCAGGTCAGGGAACTGGGACGGTCATGGCAGAAGTGTTTGTGTTGATTTTGATGTTTGTTTTGGATCATTGTCCTGATGGAAAATCCAACCACGGCCCATTATAAGATTTCTAGCAGAAGGCGTCAGGTTTTGATTTTTTATCTGTTGATATTTGACAGAATCCACGATGCCATGTATTTGAACAAGAAGTCCAGGACCTCCAGCAGAAAAATATGCCCACAACATTAAATTGTACACATGGGGTATTTTTTATCCTTGTGTCCACCAAACCCATCTAGCATGTTTGCTGCCAAAAAGCTCTTTTTTTAGTTTCATCTGATGATCTGACCCACAGAAGCCTGTGCCGTTTGAAGTTCCAGTCATGTCTGACAACTGGATTTGCTGGAATTTGTTTTTGGATGAGCGAGGAGGATTTTTCTTGTAACCCTCCCAAACAACATGTGGTGATGTAGGGGTTGTTTGATTTCTTTTTAATAGGCTTTCTGACCCCCAAAACTCAACTAATCTCTGCAATTCTCCATCTGTGATCCTTGGAGAGTCTTTGGCCACCGTCCATTAAGACAATATAGAAACACGTCCTCTTCCTGGCAGATTCGTGACATCTTTAGTTGATTGGAACTTCTTAATTATTGCCCTGATGGTCAAAATGGGGATTTTCAATTATTTACCTTTCTGTTTTGTGATGCTCAACAATCTTTTGCTGCACATCAGAACTATATTCTTTGGTTTTACTCATTGTGATGGATGATTAAGGGAATTTGGCCTTTGTGTTTCCTCATATTTAAACTCCTGGGAAACAAGAAGTCATGGCTGGACAATTTCATGTTCCTAGTCACCCTGGTGTGCTAAAAAAGGTAAACATTAATGGGAATATACTTCAGAGATATTTTACTCGTAAAAAATTCTAGGGGTTCCAATAATTGTGGCCAACATATTGATTTATTTCATAATGTGATTTCTCCCCCCACTTTCAATTCTTTTACTTAAATGAAAGGTTCGATTTTTTAATGAAAGATCAAAAGGATGACCGATGCAGATTTATTTTTTACTGCCAATTTTGATCATATTTACCAGGAGTGCCATTAATTCTGAGCACGACTGTATGACCTTAAAAGTCACAATTATGACAAAGTCAACTTTTTATGCATAATTATGATTTAACAAAGCATTCCTTTTTTCCTTATGTGGTGGAAACGGGCTCTCATAACAAACAGCTTCTTTCATTAATGATAACACTTTGATCAAACTAAGAAACTTGTTTCTCTGTTTCTGTTTTTGGCAGCAGTTATCGTTACTGATTTAAGATGTGAAACACACATGTAAGTGTAAACATTGTTATTCAGTCATTCATAGCAAATTATACCAAACTATTACATGTTAACATAGTAATGTTATGTTAATTTTAATTGCAGAGATGAAGCCCATCCATCTCTAACAACAGCCTCAGCGACTATTAATAGAGAAATACATGGCCAGGATAAGCAAAACAAGTATGCATGTAAATTAATGCATTTGCTTTTATTGCATCTCTAAATTAGAAAAAGCTTTAACAGATGAACTTACTGCACATTAAATGTGAGAATGGTTCTGTATGATAAACACAAATATGTCTCTCCATCACTACAGGCGTGATGTGATTCTGCTCATGAGTCTTATAGCGACGCTTGTGCTGTCCCTGCTTGTTTCTCTCGTTGTAATAATAACCTGGATGCTGAGAAAGAAGTTGGGTGAGTTTTCTCTTACTTCTGGAGGACTGACAGTATATTATTGTGCTTCATTTACAGCTACTTATATGGACATAATATACTGTATATATATATATATATATATATATACACATTCACCTAAAGGATTATTAGGAACACCTGTTCAATTTCTCATTAATGCAATTATCTAATCAACCAATCACATGGCAGTTGCTTCAATGCATTTAGGGGTGTGGTCCTGGTCAAGACAATCTCCTGAACTCCAAACTGAATGTCAGAATGGGAAAGAAAGGTGATTTAAGCAATTTTGAGCGTGGCATGGTTGTTGGTGCCAGACGGGCCGGTCTGAGTATTTCACAATCTGCTCAGTTACTGGGATGTTCACTCACAACCATTTCTAGGGTTTACAAAGAATGATGTGAAAAGGGAAAAACATCCAGTATGCGGCAGTCCTATGGGCGAAAATGCCTTGTAGATGCTAGAGGTCAGAGGAGAATGGCCCGACTGATTCAAGCTGATAGAAGAGCAACTTTGACTGAAATAACCACTCGTTACAACCGAGGTATGCAGCAAAGCATTTGTGAAGCCACAACACGCACAACCTTGAGGCGGATGGGCTACAACAGCAGAAGACTCCACCGGGTACCACTCATCTCCACTACAAATAGGAAAAAGAGGCTACAATTTGCAAGAGCTCACCAAAATTGGACAGTTGAAGACTGGAAAAATGTTGCCTGGTCTGATGAGTCTCGATTTCTGTTGAGACATTCAGATGGTAGAGTCAGAATTTGGCGTAAACAGAATGAGAACATGGATCCATCATGCCTTGTTACCACTGTGCAGGCTGGTGGTGGTGGTGTAATGGTGTGGGGGATGTTTTCTTGGCACACTTTAGGCCCCTTAGTGCCAATTGGGCATCGTTTAAATACCACGGCCTACCTGAGCATTGTTTCTGACCATGTCCATCCTTTTATGGCCACCATGTACCCATCCTCTGATGTCACTTACAGCAGGATAATGCACCATGTCACAAAGCTCGAATCATTTCAAATTGGTTTCTAGTTCACTGTACTAAAATGGCCCCCACAGTCACCAGATCTCAACCCAATAGAGCATCTTTGGGATGTGGTGGAACGCAGCCCATTCTCATCCCAAGGCGTCATCAAACTGACGCCTTGGGAATTATTTTGACCATGCTTCAATATTCGACGCTTTAGGCACCCTTTAGCGTCAGTTACATGACGCGATCCTAGGGCGTCATCTTACTGACGCTTTACCTTTAGCGTCATGTAACTGACGCTTCCTACCCCAGACCTAAACCTACCCGCGTCATCTAACTGACGCTTAGGTAAAGCGTCAGTAAGATGACGCCCTAGGATCGCGTCATGTAACTGACGCTAAAGGGTGCCTAAAGCGTCGAATATTGAAGCATGGTCAAAATTGTCATTTTAGTGACGCCTTGGGGTGAGAATGCGTTGCGGAACGGGAGCTTCGTGCCCTGGATGTGCATCCCACATCCTATCAACATTTCTAAAGAATGCTTTCAGCACCTTGTTGAATCAATGCCACGTAGAATTAAGGCAGTTATGAAGGCGAAAGGGGGTCAAATACAGTATTAGTATGGTGTTCCTAATAATCCTTTAGGTGAGTGTATATAGATTTGAGTTTAAATTATTTCATTACAGTGTGAGAAGAAAGAGACTGTAAAGTGACTCGAGAGGCATCAAACTAGCACAATTACAAAAACAGGGACAAAAAAGGGTCAGATGTAGTTTTGCATCATGATACACACATTTGACAACAAAACGATATGACTGACCAATCAGAATCAAGTATTTTATATATTTTGTATATGTCATTTTTCTTCATGTCTTTCAACTTTAATTGCATAATCTTAAAAATAAAGGTTTCAAAAGCTGGTTTTCACAACAATACCATAGAAGAATATTTTTGGTTCCTGTTACAACCGCAGCCATAACACAATTGAGGACATCACAACACAGCTTGTTCCACAGGGGATTTATTACAAAAAGATTTTAGTCGAAGGAAAATGAATCGGGGTAAACACAAACAACAAGAGAGCACACAGAACCCCCGCCGAGCAGATTTGGCCATTTAGACTTCTTATCCCAAACCACAGGTGCAGGCAATCAGTTCCTAACAAGACAAAGACACAAACTTGAACATTGTCGACAGGACAGACAAATTAGTACACAGAACAAATACATGCAAATGTAACAGTTCCCCAAAGAACCTTTTAGTGAACAGTTCTTAAAATAATCATTTTGTTCTTATTGTGAAGAGCATTTAAAAAAAAACTAAAGAACTTTTTTCCGTTATAAAGAAACTTTTGTGCAATGGAAAGATTACATCAAGGTTTTTTTAACAGTGTCTATGGAAAATATTGTGATATATAATCTTCATATCTCACTCTGACAGAGAGGGGTCACATTAGAGAAGAAGAACATTTTAACCCCACCAGTAATACGGTAAGTAGTTTACATACTGATGGAATTCAGAAATCTTCAGAAAAGAATCTAAATCTGTGTTTGTGTTTGATGCAGACGGCCTCTGAAAACCAGATGACATCCATCAGTCCAGCAGCTGCTACTGTAAGTCATCAGCAGTCCTCTCTGTAGACATTTACTGAGATGATGATTGAAAATTAATGATCATCAGTTGTGTTTCTTCACAGTCTTCTGCCTCAGTGGACGACTGTTCGGTGATTTACAGTTCTGTGATGATCTTTAAAAAGGCAGTAAGTGTCGTCTTTGAATGCTCTGAATGACTGAGTCACACTGCAGTTTGGGCTGGGACGTCCTGTTTGTCCAAATCAAAAGGGAAACTTGAAGGATGGGGTGCTGGGGGAGGGGGTCAACACATTGTATTAAGAAACACTATCTTGTCTATAAAACACATCTAACTCCATGACGCACAAAAAGCGTATTGGTGAGAAGAACACTTGTTACAAAAATACACACCGGTACAAATTACACACAGGGATATTTGACTGCACAAATACAAATTTTGATATCATCGATACTGCTTGCAATTGTTACAGGAAAGCCTCAGTTTTTGAGATACAGTTCCTTCACATCATTTACAGCTCATGTCTGACACAAGAGGAAGGATTGGGCTTATCCATCGAGAGAGAAAACATCACATGCCAAATTAATTCTAGTTAGAAAGAACTAGGTTTATTACCCACTTACGATTTATATTTAAAGGGATAGTTCACTTTGAAATACATTTTTGATATGTTTTAGCTTACCTCAAGGGCATCCAAGATGTAGGTGTCTTTGTTTCCAATTTTGATATTTTTAGGTCAAACCGTTCTTGTCTGTCAGTCATATAATGGAGGTCTATGGTCACCACCTCAAAGAGCATGCACAGAGAAGTCCAGATAAACATGATTTAATGACTCGTAAATGTAAGTACACATTGATGGCCTAAGACACGAAACGAGCGGTTTGTGTGAGAAAACGAACAGTATTTATATCGTTTTTACCTCTTGTAACGCACAGACCGAAGCGCCCGCGCCCTCAGATCACTTGGACGTGGCTGTGTTTACAAGAGGTAAAAACGATATAAATACTGTTCGTTTTCTCACACAAACTGCTCGTTTCGTGTCTTAGGCCATCAATGTGTACTTACATTTACGAGTCATTAAATCATGTTTAATTTGGACTTCTCTGTGCATGCTCTTTGAGGTGGTGACCATAGACCTGCATTATATGACTGACAGACAAGAACGGTTTGACCTAAAAATATCAAAATTGAAACTACTGCGGAAACAAAGACACCTACATCTTGGATGCCCTTGAGGTAAGCTAAAACATATCAAAAATTAATTTCAAAGTGAACTATCCCTTTAAAGTGTTTATTACAAATTAATTACTAAATGTTAAAAGGAAATGAATGGAAATCCCCAGAATTCTTATTCTTAAGCTGATCATGTTTATTCACAGGCTTTATCGTCAGTGGATCCAGAGGGCGACGTGATCTACAGCTCTGTGAAAAAACCTAGAAAGGCTGTGAGTTTATATCCACACACACCCTGCTCCTTCTTAATGACGTTATGAGCGAATGAAAGTAATTCAATGTAAATTAATAATAACTCTATTTGTACCATTTTAGTTTTTAGTTAGTGTAAACCTGTTAACTGCCACTTTGGAATAGGATTAACACTTTTAAAAAAGTTACTTACTGCAAAGAAAATGTTCTGTACTAAACTTATTTTATGCAAAAATATATATTTTACAAAACAATTTGGACTCTGAAATTGCTATAAAATCAATTTATAGCAATTACTGCAATAAAAAGTGTAAAACCGATGTACGCTCAGCGGCTGTCTGAAGTCGCTCACTCCTTTTCATTCACTTCTTCAAGTGAACAGTGTTAGTGGACTAATGTAGGGAACAGTGAATGAGTGTTTAGGGGGTGATTTCGGATTCAGCCCTAGAGATCCTGAGGTGCACACAGATCCTGAGGTGCAATGTCTGAGTTGAACAAGATGAATACTGAGGTCACTCAATGTGCTGCAAGTGCAACTGAAGAAAACACAAGCAAATAGAAAAAAACACCAGCAAATTAAGAAAACATCTTCAGTTTGATAACATGTGCTGCTAATAAAGACACGTATTTAGCGTTGTGAGTGCGTGTTGAGTTTTTGCAGCACATGTGTTGTCAATCTGATGATGTTTTCTTAAATTACTGGTGTTTTTTTCTATTTGCATGCGTTTTCTTTAGTTGAAGCACGTTGAGCTCTCTCGGCCACCGTATAGCTTTCGAATGATACCTAATTTAAGATGAATAATAAAATATGCTACAGGAAAAAAAGGCAATAAAAAAGAGCACTAAGCATCCCATTGGTGGGACACTGACAGTTAACAGGTTTTGCAGCTAAAACTGTAAATGTGTCAGCGTTGTGTGTATGTGTGCGTGCGCGTGTGTTTAAATATAGTTGCCTTTTATAGTTGAAACAAAATGAATAATTCCAGTCTTGCATAGAAGTGCATTTCATTTCACTATCTTACATCACAGGTTCATTCCAGAATGGATTCTTGACCAAATGGAGGACAAAAGCGACACCAAAGAGCTAAAACCTTCATTTTTCTTTTCATGCAAGTCCAAATTAGGCCTACATAAATTGAAATGCCATTTTGTTAGTAGTTATTAAATTAGTTCATTAAAAAAACTAATTCTTTTTTTTTGTTTTTGTTTATTTTTTGTTTTGAATGAATTTGAATTGCTCGATAAATAAGGACATTAAAAGCTCTGCGTTAAATTGTTCATATAGCCTAATACACATTTGTATGTGACGCCATCTGATGGTGAATATGATCTACAGTTTTACCATTTACCTCTTCATCTGCTCAAATTTATATCAACAATTTTTAATACCAAGTAATGTATCATTCGTGATTCCTTGACCTGTTGTGTGTGATGTTCTCATTGTAACTTTTTAACATTTCAGTGATGTTTTCATTTTTTGTTTTAATTCTGGTGTGAAACTTCCTGAAATTTTTAAAGGGATAGTTCACCTAAAATTCTATCATTATTTTCTCACCCTCATGTCGTTCAAAACCCGGTAGATTTTCGTTCATCTTCGAACACAAATGAAGATCTTTTCGAGGAAATCTAAAAACTTTCTGTCCCTCCATTGACAGCTTATGCAACTACCACTTTCAAGGTTCAGAAAGGTACACAGACATAAATGTAATCCATGTGACACCAGTGGTTTATCCTCAAATTTATGAAGTTGCACAATTGCACAAATTAATCTTTTCTCACAAAAAAAAAGATCGCTGAGGCACGATCAGAAGAGCGCCACAATGCATGCGTGCTGTTGACCCAGAAGCAGAATGAGAACGCATTGGTGAGAACACATAAAAAAATAAAAAAAATAATAAAGTAGAATTTTAAGCTGTAAGCACCAGCACGTACCAGCCGGGTTCGTCACTTATTTGGTTCCCCTGGAAACATTTCCGTTGTGGTCTTTGTTATTTGCAGCACGTTTCTGTATTTGTGAAACTGATGAAGATGTTTTCTTTATTTGCGGGTGTTCTTTTTTCTATTTGCAAGTGTTTTCTTCAGTTACAGCGCGTTGAGCTCTCTCGGCCACCGTATTAAACCAATGAAGAGACATAGATTACACCGTGTTCTAACTACACGTAACACACGATAAAAGGTATATTTTCCATGTCAATCAGAGTTTATCCTTACCGGTGACATGTGACGATTGTATTTTAGAATTTCTATTTTTACTAAAACTGTCAACTCATTGTGAACAAACCAGTGTATTCTATGACAAGATTCAGTTTCAGTCAAAAATTTCAGTCACTAGGTTTGTACCTTCAATGATGTTTAAATGGTGTAATATTTATGAATTTGATAATGTACTGATCAATTTGATTGTGACTGCAGTGCACTTGCCAAGAGAACCCGCCCACACACTGTTCTGATTGGCTGTGTTGTTTTTGATTGATTTTGTCACATTACATGGTCACATGTTGGCATTTGGTGTGGACAGAAAAACTGCTTGTTACTAGAATCTTATCGCATCGCATTTGGTTAGAACACAGTGTTACTTGTCTTTACTACCTTTCTGGAGCTTGAAAGTGGTAGTTGCGTAAGCTGTCAATGGAGGGAAGAGAAAGCTCTCAGAATTCATTAAAAGATCTTCATTTGTGTTCTGAAGATGATCAAAAGTCTTGCAGGTTTGGAACATCAGGAGGGTGAGTAATTAATGGCATTATTTTCATTTTGGGGTGAACAACTTGTTTGAAAAACTTTCCTTCTTTGGTATGTTCAGTTAAAGGTCCATTTTGAGATTTGACAAAAGCTTAAACTTTACATGGATTTTTGAAGTTGTTCACAGAGGAACTTCAGCAGTCTTGGAGGAATGTGTAGACGTTTGGTTTCCTTCATCTCAGCCTTTTCGACCTTCGTTCAGGATTTCTGCACAGGAAAGTTGGATGTGAATAAAAAATGGATATGTTTACACAAGAAATTAAATGAAGGAAACTGAACTCATTTTGGCAGAAAAAGGTGGTGGAATGTAGTCTGTAGAGTCATAAAAAGGTTGTACCCATTAAGAATCTGTTTAATGCACTAACAAATGCTTGCCCATGAACCTGAAGTAAACCGTGTTTGATCAGTCATTTATGGACCGTTTATAGTTGGTTATACAAATGAGTCTTATTTGCATTCGTCATTATTTATTTTGCTTTTTGAATTATTTTGGATTTGAACTTTGGACATGTTTTTATAGATTTTGACTTTATCAGTGAACATTTGTAATTATTTTTTGAAAATCATTCGAATTAAGACAAAAAAGCTGTAGAAAATGCCTACGATTATTACCCAAGATAAAAGGTACAGAATCATTGTACAATGACCAATATAGCACGTTGTCACAGTGGAACCTGCCATTTCAAAGCAAAATTGAAATGGTAAAACGATTATGAAATGTCAATGAACGTGCCAGCCAATGTTATAAATGTATCCATTTATTTGACATACAAATTTAACTTGGATAACTTTCCCTGTGTCACAACCACCACCACCAGAGGGAACTCTATCATTCTGCTTTTTCTCACCATGAACTTCATTTCCCAAAACCCATTGCCTGCATTATCATGTTCTGATTATGTCCACTTGTGTTATTATCTTGTTTACTTCTGTCTCTTTAAGCCCTGTGTATCAGCCCTTGGCTCCTTAATAATGGCAGAGAGTGAAAA